GGGGGGGGGGGGGGGGGGGTGTCAATAGAGTTTATTATGAAAACTGTCAGTGATTTCTCACTACATTATAAACCTGGGAGAGTCCATATGATGAAGATTTGAACTTTATTGAGGAAAGAAATGAAAATAAACTAAATGAAACTAACTACTTATTTGTCTTTAAAAACATAATATTTTATTGTATGGTATGTCTGCATCGCATTTTCAGTTTCTTTCACTAATTTTGACAATTCTGCAGTGTACCAGTACACTTAAAGGAACATCTTCTCTTGTATCATCTTTGAATAATATTTTAGCCTAATATCACTCTCCCAAATATGTGTTTCTCCTCACTGTGCATAATTATGGCCCCTTAATAAAACTTTAGAATCCCAAGGTAAAATTCCCCACCTGCCTAGAACAATATGGGCACTTCTACACAGTGGTGCATAAGTTATAGTGGCAGTGGTGCATAAGTTATAGTGGCTCTAAGAGCCACTCTAAAATACCACTGTGTCTCATGTATTGGTGTACCTGTGCTTAAAAATAGTGGGGGGGGGTGCTTGAATTAAAGCTCATTTGATAGCCCACCACCATTTTTAAGTGTGAGAGCACTCATACATGAGACATAGGAGATTGCTGGAGCACAGCAATTGCCACAGTCCAGCAGACTTGATTAACTGAGTCTGCTCCACTGTGCTGGAAGTCCAGTGCATCAGAGCAGCCTCACTGTTCATGTATCACTGTTCATGTATAGTCACACTATTTGATTTGAGGTACAGAAGGAGTGTTAAATCATACTGGAAGTGATTACTCACAGCAGATAACTAGAATGGACTTCTCCATTCCTTTTATTTGTCAGTGGGCACATCTACACATGCATTTTAATGAGCAGTAGCTTATTTTACCATGCATTACAGTGGTGTGTAAAAAACCGTGCTATTACACTAATGCTCAGTAAAACAGTTTACTGCACATTAAGCATCACCTAAAAATCATGCACTTGCACTACTGAACATTAGGACAGCCTAATGCTCGTCTAGTACCTCACATTGGAGGTATTAAATTTATGCACATTAGGAAAAGTGCATTAATGCATGTGTAGACATGCCCAGTAGCATCTAATACAAACTTAAATAGACTCCAGCAAACTGACCACAGAGAGCTACTTATATTGTTTTGGGTAGTCAGTAGAAAATATTCCAGGGCTGTGCTATTATTTCCTTAGAAGTCTAATATGATGAGAACCTGGTAATGGGAATGCAGATAACTGTACTATTACAGAAACAGCTTTTGAAAGGTCATTGCTTTCTTATTCCCTACGCAACATAAATTGTTTGGATAAGCATGGAC